GCTAGAAGGCAAAAGCCTTACTATAACATTTTGAAAATAATCCCTTAATATTTTCTAAAATTTTAAACATGCAAACCTGTCCTTTGCCCCAGCAATGCCAGCCTTGAGAATGTATGTGTAGATATAAAAGCCCAATAAAATACTGATATTGCATAAGGATAGTTAGTGCAGTCTTGTTTTAGAAGTAGCAAAATGCTTAACCATTTTTCCTGATGATTCCTAATCAAGGAAGTACTACCCTTCAATAAATCAGTAAGGAAAATGTTGAATTAAATAAACATTGAAGACTTCTGGGTAAGATGGTAGAGTAGGAGGACCCTAAATTCCCCTCGTCCCACAGATACAACTAGGTAACACCCACATTAGTGTAAATAATCCAGAAAATAACCCAAGGACTGGCAGAACAGACTCTCCACAACTAAATGAAGAGAAGAGACCACACTGAAGAGGGTAGGAAGGGCGGAGACATGGTCAAGAGCTAAATTAACCTGAGGGACTATCCATGGGAGGGAGGGAGCTACAGCAGTTTGACAAGCACCTGGGTTTATGGGAGGAAGATTTGTTTATTAATCTTAGAGCATGTGCTAGAGGGGCAGGCGTCCTTGGGAGACTTCAAGAACAAAAGGGATGGCAAATTGCCCTTCCTGCCCCCAGCCTAGACATTTGTATACCTGTGAGAACATTTGTATACCTGTGGGGACAACACTCACCACGTAGTTTGCTAACAGCATGTCCCACCCATGTGTTCTCCTGAAGACCTGCCCTTTGATTACTCCCTTGGCCAGAGCCCATCCAAAGTAGTGCCCACAAGCCTGGCAGTATGTAAGCAGCCCCAACAGGAGCCAGCACCACCCCAAAGTGACTCCTACCATGGGGAAAGGAGAAGATCACACACACCAGTCCAACTGTGGCACCAGCAGTGGGTTGGGGACAGACATCTTGTCTGACTGCTGGCCCCAACCACAAATGAAAGCTTCTCAGGGGACAACATAGGGGAACTTCCCTAAGTTTGGTGCTACTGCATCTCTGGAAAATACCTGGTCTGACTCAACTCAAGCTCTAGATGGCCCCAGACTAGCGCACTAACAAAAGAGGGACCAAACCCTGCCCAAAACAGGCAAAGAGATTGACTACAGACAACTTGACTGAAAGCAAAAGAAGCTCAGCCGTAACACTAGGGCACACACAACATAAATAGGAGACACTCTTGAAGCACCAAGTTCTCGGGAGCAGGGAACATTGCACGACTTTCCTAAAACAGAAGCAGATACAGAAAGTTAGACAAAATGAGGATACAAAGGAATATGTCCCAAATGAAAGAACAGGACAAAAGAGTTTAATGGAAATAAGTAATATCTCTAATAGAGAATTTAAAGTAATGACCATAAAGATACTTACTGGACTTGAGAAAAGAATGGAGAACCTCAGTAAGGCCGTTAACAAAGGGAAAGAAAACGTAAAAAAGAACCAATCAGAGATGAAGAACTCAATAACTAAAATTTTAAAATAAACTAAATAGAATAAATAGACTGGAAGAAACAGAAGAATGAATCAGTGACTTGAAGGAGAGAGTAATGTAAAGCAAGCTGAACAGGAGAGAGAAAAAATAATAATAAAAAATGAAAATAGACTTAGGGAATTCAATGACTCCATTAAGTGTAATAATATTTGCATTTAGAGGGATCCCAGTAGAAGAAAAAAGGATGCAGAAAATTTATTTGAAGAAAAAAATAGCTGAAAACTCAAATTTTGGAGAAGGAAACAGAAATCCAGATTTAGGAGGCACAGAGAGCCCTCAACAAAATCAACCAAGGAGGTCTACAGCAAGCTATATAGTAATTAAAATGGCAAATAATAGTGACATAATTTTAAAATCAGCAAGAGAAAAGAAAATTGTTACATAAAGGGTAAACCCCATAAGGCTATCAGATGATTTTTCAGCAGAAACTTTTCAAGCCAGAGGGAGCATCATAATATATTTAAAGTGCTGAAAGAAAAAACTTTCAGCCAAGAATACTCTATCCAGTAAGGCTATCATTCAGAATAGAAGGAGTTTCCTAGACAAACAAAAGCTAAAAGAATTCACGACCATTAAATCAGCTGTACCAGAACTGTTGAAAAGGACACTTTGAGTGGGAAATAGACCATAAGTAGGAGCAAGAGGAGCAGGAAACACAAAAGCAGTAAATTTAAGAATATCTATAAAAATTAGTCAAGGGATTCATAAAGTAAAAGGATGTAAAATATGACACCGTATACCTAAAAATAGAGGGGAGAGGTGTAAAGAATGAGTTCAAGGGGAAGGGAGGGAAAACTGAATGGGAAGAAATCAGAGAGGGAGACAAACCATGAGAGATTCTTGACTCCAGGAAACAAACTGAGGGTTGCCGGAGGGAGGGGGAGGGGGGTTGGGGTAACTGGGTGATGGGCATTAGGAGAGCACGTGATCGGGCGCCTGGGTGGCTCAGTTGGTTAAGCAACTGCCTTCGGCTCGGGTCATGATCCTGGAGTCCCGGGATCGAGTCCCACATCGGGCTCCCTGCTCAGTGGGGAGTCTGCTTCTCCCTCTGACCCTCCCCCCTCTCATGCTCTCTATCTCATTCTCTCAATAAAATCTTTAAAAAAAAAAAAAAAAAAAAAAGGAGAGCACGTGATCTGATGTGCACTGGGTGTTATATACAACTAAGGAATCATTGAACACTACGTCAAAAACTAATGGTGTACTATATGTTGGCTAGTTGAATTTAAATTTAAAAAAAAAAAGAATGGGTTCAACCTTAAGCAACTGTCAACTTAATATATTCCTAAGATGTTAGATACAAACCTCAGGATAACCAAAAATTAAAAACCAGTAATAGATATGCAAAAAATAAAAGAGAAAGGACTCTAAACATGTCACTAAAGAAAGCCAGCCAACTGTGAGAGAAGAGAGCAAGAAAAGAAAGGAACAGAGAAGAACTACAAAAACAACCATAAAACAAGTAACAAAATGGTAATAAGTACATTCCTATCATTAATTACTTTGAATGTAAATGGACTAAATGCTCCAATCAAAAGACGTAGCATGACAGAATGGTTAAAAAAGCAAAACCCAGGGGCATCTGGGTGGCTCAGTCAGTTAAGCATCTGCCTTCGGTCCAGGTCGTGATCCCAGGGTCCTGGGTTCAAGCCTCACATCAGGCTCCCTGCTCAGTGGGAGCCTGCTTCTCCCTCTCCTCCCCGCTTGTGCTCTCTCTCACTATCTCTGTCACTATCTGTTTCTCTCTCTCAAATAAATAAAAATAAAATCTTAAAAAAAAAAAGCAAGACCCATCTATGTGCTGCCTATAAGAGACTCATTTCAGACTTAAAGACACAGGTACATTGAAAGTAAAGGGATGGAAAAGCATTTATCATGCAAATGGAGGTGAAAAGAAAGCTGGGATAGCAATACTTACATCGGACAAAATAGACTTTAAAACAAAGACTGTAACAAGAGACAAAGAAGGACACAATATAATCCTAAAGGGAACAATTGTAAGAACAAGAAGATATAAAAATTGTAAATATTGCACTCAACTTGGGAACTGTCCAGTTTTCCCAACACCAATGGGGTTGTTGAAAAGAGACTATCTTTTTACATTGCATATTCTTGCCTCTTTTGTCATAGGTTAATTGACCATATAATCGTGGGTTTATTTCTGAACCCTCTATTCTGTTCCATTGATCTATGTGTTTATTATTGTGCCAGTATCATACTGTTTTGATTACTACAGCTTTGTAGAATATCTTGAAATCTGGGATTGTGATACCTCCCATTTTCTTCCTCTTTTCCAAGATTGCTTTGACTATTCAGAGTCTTTTGTGGTTCCATACAAATTTTAAGATTGTTCTAGTTCTTATTACTTATTCCTTACCAGTTTGGATGCCTTTGATTTCTTTTGCTTGTCTGATTGCTGTGGCTCAGACTTCCAGTACTATGTTGAGTAAAAGTGGTAAGAATGAACATCATTGTCTTGTTACTGATCTTAGGAGAAAAGTTCTCAGTTTTCCACCATTGAGTATGATGTTGCCTGTAGGTTTTTCAAATACGGCCTTTATTATGTAATATGAGTGGGAAAAAATCCCTTCTGATATTCTGTGTTGGCCTAGAAAAACAGGGAAGCTCTCCTCTGTTCCTATTTTCCATTAAATCATCTGGTATCTTCTCAGAGGGATATGTTTTACTAATTCCAACATTCATTCCTGTGCTCTTTAATTAGAAGTTAATTTTATATTACACACTTTAATTCCAGTTGCAAACTTCTTTATAAAATGAGTATTCTTACCCATAGGACAAGTAAAGGAAAAATAACATGCTGTTTTTATAAGTGTATTTTATAACATTGGTGTTTGTTATAGCAAATTCATAGAATCAATGCGATAGATTAAAAGGTTGTATCACTTATTAATATAGTAATATTCATTGTTAATTTTCTTAATGTAGACATAAATCATATTAATATATTAATTTATGTGTGTATATACACACACACAAATTGCTTGATATAGAATCCGTATTTTCTTTGTTTATGTGGCCCAAAGCATAAATGAGATCTACACTTTTTTATTTTAATTTAATGATGCTTAGTAATATGTAAGTCATTTTACAATATACCATGTACATTATAGAAACTGTCTCTAGACAATACAAATTATGGAAAAATGCAGCCTTTCTGTGTATACAATATTCAATAAATGGCAGTGACTTTTAATATCAAATAGTGGGTAATAAAGAAATAATACCACTTATAAACATTGAACATTTTAACACGTTTTGCTGATTGCTCAAGGTGTATTTGGTCTGGTATGTTCTAGTTGGTGTTTTTCAAAACCATTTTTTATAACATGTCATTCTAGATCCTTGTGGGCTTTTCATTTTATATAATAGCAGCTTAAATTCACGCACTAACACTGTATGAAATATTTTGAAATAAATTATAATTTTAGGTTCCAATTTCACTGTCTCTTTGTACCTCCAGGTGGCTTTTACAGTACTTTTTGATTTGGAAGCACTTCTGAAGATATGGTGTTTGGGATTTACTGGATATATTAGCTCATCTCTCCACAAATTTGAACTACTACTCGTAATTGGAACTACTCTTCATGTATATCCAGATCTTTATCATTCTCAGTTCACATACTTTCAGGTAATACGGGGAATGTCTATTTGTCTGTAGAATTTTTTTCTTTCCAGAGAAAATACCAGTCACATTATAACAACTATACAGAATTATATTAAATAGTTATATATAATTATTATATAATAAACACAACCTTGAGGTAAGCCCAATGACATCTTCAATACCAAAAACAGTGCACTCATAAATTATAACATTGTTTTTCAAACTTCTGAAAATTCACAGTAATAAATGGAGATGTTTTCGATGAAATTTTCTCCTTAGATGAAAAAAAGTGCATTCCAACTTCACTAATTTTATTTATTGGCGATTCCAAAGCTGTTATTTTCAGAGCAATTTTAACTTCAGGTGCCAAATTACAACTTGAAACTCTATATACTCTGATATATAGTTTCATGTCCTCAGGAAAGGACATGAAAACATGATTCACAAAAATGATAACAAATATCCTGCAACCATGGGTGAAAAGCTGAGCCTCTAGTAATCACTGCCAAAAGTTCTGAAATCACAGAGGATATCATGGTTCAAGCTTTCAGTATATCAACATCTTTGGACATAAATCCCTTGTCATTTGTTGGGTTATATCCTTAGGCTTGGTTATCATAAGTGAGGTGACCAGAGCAAGAGATATACATATGTTTAAAACTCTTGATATGAAATGTACTTCCCAATCATGCCATTATATGCCCTTGGGTGCTGCGGTCTAGATCTACAAAATCAACATGAGCATTTAGTACCTACGTTTGAGAATCATTGTACATAATTAGAGAAAATATGCCTGATAATCAAAACAACAAGATATCTTTAACAAACCTTTTAAGTCAACCAAACTAAGAAAATACTGATACCTATTTCAGCAAGGATACATATACAAAATATATTCAGGGCTTTAAAATTCCTCTAGTTTCTCACAGATAATTTTTTAGTGAAAAGTTAGAAATACATTAAAATTTTGAATGCAAATATATTTATTTTGGGATTGTTTATGAGAAAAAAATGGGACTTTTAAAATGGTAAACATTTGAGGGATAGCTTAGGAAGTCATATGCAAATTTGACCATAAAATAATGACTGTCATGATTTGTGATTACTTAGAGATATGATTCATTATCTCTAGTTTTTTTCTACTTAGAGATATGATTCATTATCTCTAGTTTTTTTCTACTTGTCTATTTTTCACAAAGTATCTAAAATTAGTATGCATGGTTCTAATCATTTTTTATAGATAGAGACATAGTTGAATAATATGCTGTCAATGAAGTTTGCAACTTCAGTGTTGTCTTTGATCCTGGATTATAACCTAAAATAATTTTACTTATGTTAATGGTTAAGTGATTTTCATTTGTATCTCTCTATACATGACCATGTTTTTATTTTTCTGATGAAATAATTAAACACTATGTCAGTTATTATTTGGCTAAAATATAGATCTCTGCAGAAGTTCAAGTGTCACAAGGATTTTTGCAAATTCACCTATAAGAGCCCACTGTCCTGAGCAGATTAGCTCTTCGTGGGCCCACTCTGGTCTCCCTTGTGGGTCCTTGCACTTCTCATCTGACTTGGCCTTACCTCATTATGTTGGCAGCATGGCTTCCTTTAGTGAATTTCACATTTTCATATTGAAGTGAAGTCAACAGTTTAGTACAAAATGACTCCCTTTATAGCATCAGTTATCTCTGAGAGCAGTTATTGGTGTTATTCGTCTATTTGTTCAAGTTGGTATTTACTGAGCACCTACTATGTGCCAGGCACAGTTCCAGATACGGAGGACAGAGTTGAACAAGCAGGGAGAAGTCCCACCTCTGTAAGCTTACATTCCAGATGGCAGACAGTTCACAAACAAGTACACATAAGAATGTGGAATAAAGTGCTGGAAATATTATAAAGGAGAAACAAGGGTAAAAAAGATAGAGGTTGGGGTGAGGGATGGGGGGGTGTCTATTTTAGAGAAGTTGCTCATGGCAGCCCTCTCTGGAGAAGTCGCTAATAAGCAGAGACTAAGTGAAGTGGAGGGGCAAGCCAAGAGAACCTTATGGCACCTTCCTGAGGTGAAAACATGGTTGATGTGTTCAGAGAATAGCCTAAAGGCCAGCATGGCTGCACTGGAATGAGCATAGGGCACCACTGTGCTGTAGGAAGAAATAAAGCTTCACAAAATGCTCTGGCTCTGACATACCCGGGTAATAATGATGACGTTGGTGGGTATTTATTGTGCATTTGCCATGTGCCAGGCACTGTGCCAGGTGCCTTGTGCTGTTTAGTACTCACCACAGTCCTGTGAGACAGAGTATACAATGCAAACTGAGCTCCCAAGACATTTGATAACTTGCCCAAGACCACATAACTAGCAAGTGGTGGAAACTCATGACTAAGAAGTTTAATTTCGTAGTCTGTATTCTTAGCCATGCAATTTCTAAAGTATCTCACTTGTAATGAACAGAGTGATCTTGAAGACACAGAGTTAGAAATATGACCAGGAAAATGAGCTTTGGAAGTAGCCACGAAATGTTCTACAGTGCTTATCTTTGAGAGCATGGCTTACTTTATTCCCTATCTGTAGGGATGCAAAATCAAAAGGCTTTATTGCACAAACAGAGTGAAAAGGATATTTATCCCCAAGTAAATGAAAAAGCCTAACTAGAATCATTGATAAGGATTTTGCCTTTCCAGGGATACAGGCTTACCCCTTGGAAAATGCTGATCAAATCGGCCATGTAGGAGTCGTGTTGTGTTCTGCTTCTTCCAGCTAATGAAATATTAATTATCAAATTTGCACAGATGTGCAGAGGCTGTTTTATTAGAATTTGGGATAGGACTCAAAATTACTTAGACTATCTTTTAAGTGTGATTTTAATACAAGTGGAGAAAACCCACTGTTTTGAAAGCTGAGCTATAAAGCCAGTTAAATTGTTCCTGTAAACTTGCCTGGGCTCAGCTGTTAACAATTAGATACTGAATCATTTATGTCTTGGAATAACAAATCTGATAAGAATGTGAACACTTTCCATATTATTATTCTGGATATTAATATGAATGTTAATATTTTAATAGCTCTTATGATAAAGCTATTCACTTGTTATTTGGAAAGATGGCCTGAGTGTAATATGTTCTGATTTGGAAACATACATAAATTCTAACAGGAAGACTGGTAGCTTAACCATGTATGTAGCACAATGTTTACTTGGAACAACATGATTTTTCACATAAATTTTCTTTTTTCAGTATTGTGTGAAGGAATTAAAATTAACAACAAGGAAATATACATTTTCTCAGCTTCTTTAAACGTTTGTCCTTTAGTTTCCTATTCACGTGGCTACATTTGTATTCTGTAGACAATAGGAATGATAAGTTTCACCATCAATATTTCCTGTTAATTCAGGTTCCAGGGGAGTAAATGTGGCTTCACGTATGGCATGATGCAGAGGCTAAGATGGTATCATAAGGACTCAGTCTATATGTTCACTCACCTTTCTTCTCTGTCAGTATTATTAAGCTGGCTTTCTCCATCTAGTGGCAAATCTGGCTCCCAGGAGCTCAGGGCTTCAGTGGTGCTTATAGTAATGCCAACTGGAGATAAAAAATGCCACATCTTATAGGTCCAACAAAAGTTCCGAGGATGACTCAGGTCATTGTGAATATTCCCTCCAGGCCCAGATTGTGGACATCATGGAGTCCCTTTTGGACCTGGTGGACCAAGAGTGGAGCAGGAATAATTTGCTAAAGGAACATCAGGAACAATAGGAAGCTAGGGATGCTGGAAAAATCCAAACACATATATGTGTAAAAATTAAAATCTAGTTTTTAAAGCACTTCCTGTTCTTTACTATACTGAAAATAGACTATTCATTTTTCTTCTCCTAAGAAGACTTCACAGACACCTAAAGCTCTTATCAAACCGGCTTAGACACCATATATTATTATATTTATACTCACCATATTTTATTTATGCCCAGACCACCGTTTTCCGGTTTCCTATTTCCTATCTCTAAGTCTGCGATCTGCCTTACAATAAGTGGTATGCCTTACTTTAATTGGAAGCACTTTTTCTTCTCAGAGGCACATAAAAAAAAAAATGTTAACATCTTAGACTTAATTAAAAAATTCTATTTTTCAGGGTGCCTGGGTGGCTTAGTTGTTAAGCATCTGCCTTCAGCTCAGGTCATGATCCCAGAGTCCTGGGATCAAGCCCCTCCTTGAGCCCCACATCGGGCTCCCTGCTCCACAGGAAGCCTGCTTCTCCCTCTCTCACTCCCCCTGCTTGTGTTCCCTCTCTCGCTGTGTCTCTGTCAAATAAGTAAATAAAATCTTAAAAAAAATTTTTAAAAGTTCTATTTTTCCATGCTTTATGCTTCAACTTTGGATTATATACTAATTTATACTTTTAATCATATAAATATGCCTTTAAGAGCTATGCTCTATAAAAAAAAATTTAAGCTATGCCTTTGTATGATACTGCCTTTGCAATTACAGACATTGAACCTTATTTGTCCAACACAATGTTTGACACATAATAATCAGTATTTGTTAAAGTGAATGAGCAAATGAACTTATTAATTGATAAGCAGCTATGGGGGGGTGCAGTTATACACTTTCAAAACATCTAAACATGTGTAGGTATGTTTAGATGACAACCTAAGCAGATATAACAGAGATCAAAAGTACGAGTCTTACATGAGACAGAAGTGTGTTTCTCTCCAGTACTTGGTGGGTGTCCAGGAAAAGTCAGTGGCTCTGCTCCACACGGTCATGCAGGAAGCCAACTACTGAGGTGGACTGAATCTCTCAGCCTCTATACAAGGCTTCTATTTCTGGTCCAAAGGGACAACTCCATTTGTTTCTATTTCCCTGCCAGAGGAAGGCATAAAGAGTATCCAAGACAAGTTGATTTACTTTAATGGGCCAAAAGTTGCAAATACTACTTCCTTTCATATTCCATCAGTCTGAACCTAGTCCCCTGGCCACACCTCACTACAAGTGGGGCTGGAAAATGTGGCCTAAAGTCCTGGCTAGCCACTTGCTAAGCTAAAATTCTGATTGTTCTGTTATTTAAAGGGAGGAGAGAATGGATATTAGGGTATGTCTCAGGCATAAGTGAAGACTCCTTGTTAATAGACTTTTTAAAAAAATGTCTTATGTACAGTAATACATAAGAAGCTTTATTCTGTGAGACAATATAGCTAATTCTGAGCTAAACATTTTCTTCTACATTTGAACATTAGAAAAAAATCACTTTAATTTCAACAACATGTATTACTTAATGGCACTTTGAATTATCACATGCATGTCAAAAAGCTTCAGTTTTCCTACAGTCATTTGGGATTTATTGAGTTCTGGCTCTAAGGCAGGCACTGAGCTAGACTGAGATCTTAGTTATGGTATTGTTACTTTTTGTGTGTGGCTGCTCAAGTGGAAAGGTGCGATTTTTATGAAGTACTGTGAAAAATGAGGTTTTAGTGTGAACTTATTTAAGATTCAGTGTAAAAAAGTGATCAAGTACATATGTTTTTCTCTCTCACAACAGGTTCTTCGGGTAGTTCGACTTATTAAGATTTCACCAGCGTTAGAAGACTTTGTGTACAAGATATTTGGTCCTGGAAAAAAGCTTGGGAGTTTGGTTGTATTTACTGCCAGCCTCTTGATTGTTATGTCAGCAATTAGTCTGCAGATGTTCTGCTTTGTCGAAGAACTGGACAGGTTTACAACGTTTCCAAGGGTAAGAATAAAAAATGCAGCCAATTAATTTCTTCTTCCTATTTTAGTAATAATGGTTAACATCAAAATAGTTTCCCTTTACGAGTGGTTCAAAAATACAGTCATATTTTCGATAACTTAGAATAATTCAGTTTTGATATTTAAAATGGTCTCTTCTGCAGGGTGCATGCATTTGAGCACATTTTCAGCATTGTGAGATTATGTATCAATTCTAAAATTCTGGAAATAGTCTGATAGAATGAGATGCTGAAACCAGTCAAGATGAAAGCTAGGGTTCTCAGCACCTATAGATGAAAATATAACAGAATTTTTAAATAAAATTTTTGTGTCTGTGAGAGTTATCATTTTAAAATCTGTTTTATAATTCATATATTTTTATGACAAGCATAATCTAGAAGGGGTTTTGATTTTAAAATTCATAAACGCTTCAGATTTTAAATGTCTTTAAAAGATTATCTAGTTCATGCCTCTGCATTATCATTAGAATTCACTTAGGCTATGAACGAAGTTAAAAATCAATCAACTCATAAACAGAACTCATGTAGAAAATATAGCTCTAATCAAGGATTCTGAAATTTAACTTCGTGTGGATTTAGAAACATGAAAAAAATATAATGACCAAGACAAAAAAATATATATTCTTTCACCATAAGCTGAAATAGCAAAGCCTATTATATGGGAAGGATAATCTTGGAGTAACAGCAGGATGTAATACATTTTTTAAAATAAGCTTTGAGGACAAAGGTGTCTGTACTCAAACTGGTAGACTAATAAAGCCTGGTTATTTTTTTTTTTTAATCTTGTGCTAAATTTGTTACACATTACCAAGCATTTGTTGAGTGCGTATAAACAGCCAGGCAATTTTGGTGATCTTAGGACAGAAACACAACTACGTCCCTAGTTTTCAAAGAAATTCTCAGTTGAAGGGGGTGCCCCATAAGTAAACATGAAGCATGATAAAGGCAAGCTCAAGGTGCTCTGGGAACCCAGAGGTAAGGTCTGTAACCAGGAATGGAAAAGTCCAAGAAGGCTTCTTGAAGGAGGCAATTACTAAAGAACAGTTGTAGGTAGCCAAGTGTCCCAGGTTTGGAGAACAGCATATGCAAAAGGTCTGAGGTGAGCCATTCTTGTTCCAGAACTTAAAGGAGAAAGAAAGGTCAATGTGAGAGGAGGACATAAGACCAAGGAAGTTTTAAGTTGGGTGAAAGCGTGATTGTGTTTAAATGCTGTTGAGAGAGCGAGTAGAGGGCGAGGTTGAAGATGCATGAGACAGAGGACAGTAGCAAAATGTTCCCGGAGGGGGCATCCAGAGCACGGGCACAAAGACTGGTCTCAGACAGGTGTTGACTTGTCCTGTGTCCAGGTGGTGATATAGGACAGTGAGCCAAACTGAAAGTCACAGTGAGTCTTTGTTCACTTACTGCCACAGTGCAAGCAACAGGCAGAAATAACCACTGGCTCCCAGCATTCCGTGTTCCCCACTGAACAGCATTGGGTGAGTGTCAGGTGGGAAAGCATAGATGTGGCAGGAAGAATAGAGAAAGATGCCTCAGTTGAGGGCCCTGATGATGCACCCTCGGAATAGAAGCACCTGAGCTAGGAATATGGCTGTGCGTAAAAGCATGGCGGCCTGGAGTGGGGGGGTGCCGAGTTTCTACCTCCAACTCCCTCCAGAGGCCTCCCCCATGAGCCTGTCAGGCAGAGCCTCCCCAGTGCCTGTGGTCAGGCCACAGGGGATGAGGTTGGCCTGGAGCCAGACTCTTCAACAAGAGGCTCAGCTCTTCCTGCAGGGCTGGGGGGGCAGATGTAGGCAGAGATGACAATGGTATCATTAAGCCCACCTCCTCTTAGTCTGCCCTCTCATGGGGGAAATGAAAATTGCAGAATGCCACTTGGAGAATGACACTGAATGGAGAATGACACTGAATGTCATTATCACAGCCCATCTCTAAGGCCAGGTTAATTCAGTACATAGTATTGAAGGCCCACTAAGGGTCAGCCATTGTTCTAGCAACAGGGGATCCTAAAAAGAAAACCACCCTCAGTCCCCTTCTTTATGAACACAGTCTTCTCTTAATTTCAAATCTTATCTTCATCTTTTACCATCTCTGCTAATCTCATGTCACTGATTTTATATCTCTTCCCCAAAACCTCTTTGAGCCAGACGGCTTTTGGAGTTCATAATATTCCAGATATTATAAGGGTGATATCACCCCCTTGTTGATCTGAATTGTTTGAGTCAGCACACTGTAATCAACACACTAATGCTTCTTTAGCAAAACATCAACCTTTGGACAAAGAAGGATAAATAAGGACAATAAATAAATCTTAGGTCAGACTGGATTTCTGCCACTAAATGAGCTACCAAAAAAAAAAAAAAGAAGGAAATATTTTAGGTATTTTCAAGAAGTTTGGAATAGTGAAGTTGTGAGTCAGGGCCGTGGCATGCATAGGAAGGCATTGTGGATAGTCTGCACTTCCTGTCTTAGAGATCTGATTTCTTATTACCCCTCCAGCACTTTTTTTTAAAAAGATTTTATTTATTTATTTGACAGAGAGAGGGAACACAAGCAGGGGGAGTGGGAGAGGGAGAAGCAGGCTTCCTGCGGAGCAGGGAGCCCGATGCGGGGCTCGATCCCAGGACCCTGGGATCATGACCTGAGCCGAAGGCAGACGCTTAATGACTGAGCCACCCAGGTGCCCCGCCCCTCCAGCACTTTTTGGCTGTATGACACTGGCCAAATTATTCTCGTAGTTTTATTTTTTCACATCTAAAATCCGGGTAAAAATAGTATTTTCCTCATAGCATTGTGTGTATTGAATCATATACAAAAACAACCCCACTCTGGGCTTAGAAAGCATTTTTCAAATGTTGTATTCTATGTAATATATTTGAAGTCAGTATTTTAGATTCTGTATGAAAGACCAGGCTGCTTCAGAGCCATCTGACTTGGCCCCATGGGATTTGCTCTATTTTTCCAGCCATAATAGTAATCAAGTAGCACTACGTTTTCAGGTCTCCAATTACTCCATTGTGCCTTTCTGCCTGATTACTTTGACCATCTTAATGAAAGCAGCCCGGCGACTATGGGGCCCCCTAATCAGTGATTCTGCAGCTGACAGGGTTGACAGCCTAAATGTGTGAAATGACTAGGAGTAGATTTTTCCTTGTCCATGAACATAATTATGCGTTAAATCCCTGAAAAATAATCAAATTTTGCAAGAAATGTTAAAAAACATCGCAGCTACAAAAAGTAGTCATTATCATTCCCAGTCCGATAAAGCACCAACCATTGGTGCTACTTGCCTGATAGGAAATCAGAAGAGATGGTCGTCAAAAACACATGACTGTCGATGTTAGATTTCTGTTAGGACACTCATCTATGGGTCTTAACCCCTTACCTTCTTCTAGGACATCTCCTTCATTATACAGTGGTTGGCTACTGAGGTGGGTTGGTTAATTACGGTATTAGCCAGAGCACACAACACACTGTTGGTGGGAGCCAGCCTCCAAGATGGCCCGGACTCAAGTAAAGATGATAGAAACAAGTGCTAATGATTCCTTTAGTTCCCATTTTACTTTGGGATGCATCATGTGATCTTTCTTACACATACTTAGAGCTATGGGGTACAGGAGAGTCTACTGGGTACACACTTGAGAGCTGCTGGGAGAAGACCCGCCATGAAGAAAGGAGTCCAGCAGAGGCGGGTCCAGCCTGACTTGGCAAAACAGCCTCAGTCTTTGTGCCCAGGGAAGAATTTTCCTGTGGCTCTTTCTTGAACCCGATCCTGAGCCCGCCGTCTAGGTGGCATGTTCTCCCAAGAGAAATAGGACTGGTTGTAAACCACTGTTTAATTGGACTTGATTGCACCTTGGGCCCAGCTACCCCCTATGAAGCTCTCTAAGAGAACCTGACATGGACACGTGGAAGTGACTTCCCCATCCACTTTCCAAGAAGAGAAGCTCAGCGGGGCAGAGGAAGCAGCAGCGTGGGCACACTAAGTGCCTGCCCACTGCCTGACCCTCTGACGGAGCTCCAGCCACACTGAAAGTCCCCAGCTACTTCCTGGAATACTTGAAGGTGAAGAGGTCCTAAAAACTTGCATTATTCCACAAGTTCCCTAATGGGTCTCCCTGCCTCAGTCAGCTGCTCTTCAATCATTCTCCATATGCAGCAAAAATTAAACTGTCTCGTGGCACCCTCCTGTTTAAAACATTTCAAGGCCCTCCTTTCCCTCAAGATAACAAACATTTTAATATGATTTTCTGTATCTTTTTTTCTCCATCCCCAGTTACCTCGCTGGGCTCATATTTCAGGATTTCCCCTACCACATCTTTCAGAGGCAGAGAGGGCATCTGTCTTGCTCAGTAAATCCCCCCATGCTTAGCGCAACACTTGCTAGTGAATAGGCTTTCACTGATGAATGAATAACAATGCTAGACCAAGGCAAATTTCTCCGATCCTTCCACACCGTATCGAATTCAACATCCCAGAGTCTTTCTTTGGTCCCTTCTGTCCCTTCCTCAAGGAACCACTTTACCCTCCATCACCCTAACCCTTATCCCATCTGAAATCTTTGCATAATTCTGTCAGAGTACTTTGGCAGGAAGTAGCAGAAATCTTGCCTCCAACTGACTTGAACAGTTGGGAAATTTCTCACAAAATTTGAGATTAGGTAGATTAGGCAGAAAACCAAGATTCTGAATCTTTCACTGAAATGGTCTCAGTGGTGGGTTGAATTATGTGCCCCAAAAAGATATGGTGAAGTACCCTGAAATGATCTTATTTGGAAATAGAGGTGATAAAGTTCAAATGAGGTCATGAGGGCGGGCCCTGACCCAGCATGACTGATAGTTTCTAAAGAGAGGAGATTTGGACACAAACACAGACATACACAGAGCGGGGACGATATGAAGACACATGAGAAGGCAACCATGTGATTGGGGTTTCATCTACGCACCAAGGACGTCCCAGGTTTGCTGGCAATCATCTGAAGCTA